GCCCGGACGGACCTAGAGCGGGGTGCGGGGCGCGCTGCGGGCCTGCCCTCGGGGGTACCTGCCTGCTGCTCCCTGCCCAGCTTTCCTGCCTGACATCACCCTCTGCCCAGCTGATCCGCAGCAGCTTGGTTCCGCTTGGGTCTTTTATTTTCTCCTCCAAGGGGAGCTCTCCTGAAGCTTGTTTTGAGTGGAAGGAGTCCAGGTTTAGAGCGGCCGGGTTTTATTTCTTCTGTTCTTTTGGCTGTCAGCCCAGCCACCTTGTGCTGCGAGGGTCAGCCGAGGCTGGAGGAAGGCAGGACTGCCGAGGGCAGAGCGGGGTGTGCGGTGGGAGCTATTGCAGTGTGTGGTGTGGGGGGTGCGGTGGGAGTTATTACTACCCTTCTCTGCTGCCTTGCTCTGTTCGTACTGCTGGGTCGCTGCTCGCTGTTGGTGCTGGGTGCTCGTGTACAGGAAGATGTGTTTAGGTATGAGCTACCTGGCAAGAGCTTCAAACCTTGTCGGATTGCTGTGTTCGCAGCTCGGGTTGCGCTGGGCCCAGAAGTGCAAATCGGATGTTGGGGGATGGGGAATCTGTGGGGGTCCTGGCTGGGTGATCTGGGGTCAGGGTGGCACAGGGTGCGTGTAGTGCTGCTCCAGTCGTGCACCCTGCGCTGGGTCACGGGCTTACTGCAGCCCCGCTGCTTCATGGTGCTTTGTGTGCTCTCCTGCTCCGTCTGTAATCTTTTCTCGTGGGCTCTTTGTAGCCCTTCCAGTCCCGTCTCTTGTGTGGTGGTAGTGGCACTTAACAGATCCCTCCTGGGCACCCTCTTTTCTGAGCAACCTGCTGAAAAGTTTCTGTTTTACCAGTCTGGTAATTTTTATTTTTTAAACTCACTTAGCTCAAGGGCTCCTGAGGCTCGCTCTTTTCCAGGTACAAGGTAGCATATGATTTAAACTTTTATCAGCACTGGCAATTTCAGTTCAGAAACTTAGAAAGGGACTTGGCGTTTTTAGAAGTCATCTTAGAACCATGAATTTTAAGATCCTGCATTTAAAGCGAAAGAAAATTCTGCTTTCTGGAAGTAGAACAGGTTTGAGAATGAAACATGTCTTTCAGATGCTTTAATTCCCACCTGCCCCTCCTCAGCTTTCTCACCACCATTTGCTGGAGCGTGAGGAGCAGGGAGCAAATCTGCTGGGAAACACAACTGAAATGCAGCCAGTTCTTTGCCTGTCCAAGTCCCTGATTAAAGCTGTGTGGGCACATGTTTCAGAGGTTGTGCTGGGGCATAAAGATCTGACCAAACAAATCCATATTCAAGGTCTGAGCCTATGTTACAGATTACCTCCCAACAGGAGGGCAGTTGGCTGGAATATTTGAGTTTACACTTCAGGTAGTCAGGCTTTTTTTTTTTTTCATTTGAGGCAAGGTCTCCCATAGGATTTCTGACTGGAGCCAGGACTGTTTGCTGAATAAACATAGCTTTTAGGGGTTGGTATGACTTTTAGATTTTCAAGGCATTTTAAAGCTCAAGGTGAAGTGTTATAGTCCATGGGATTTTAGCAAAGACACATTGCTGCTCCCTCTGAGCTGCCAATCTTCCCAGGACGGAGCCAGCGTGGAGGAGCTGGTGCAGCTGAACTGCTGCTGCTGGCATCCAAAAGGCAGCGCCGGTAGAGCGGGACGTGTAACACATCCCGCACCGCAGCCGGCCATCCCGTACGGCTCTGCTAGCTGCCTGCCCCGAACCCTCGCTCCCTTGGTGTGACACAAGCGGCAGCCCAAGGGGGTAGGCTGAAAGCTGTACGAGCAGCTCTGCTGTTGAATTTCTCAGCTTTTAATATTTGTGCGCTGCTGAATTCACGGAGAGGGGCAGGGAACTGCAACTTCAGGCCTTTTCTTTCTCTTGTTTGCCTTGACTCAGGGACTTGTGTAATTTTGGCTTACTGAAGCTCTCCCGCATTCCTCGCTTCCCATTCCGTGCAAACAGCTGCTGGCTCAAGCAGCGTTCAGCAGCGTGAACTGGCAGGAGGCTGAAATACACCCCTTGCTCCTCCTTTGGACCAGCAATCCCAGTGCAGGAAATATTTTTTTCCGTTCTGATGGGGAAGCGAATGTCGGAGCACGCGACGCTCACGTGCAGCCAGTCCGGGCACCTTTGCGTGTGGTCCAGGGTTCAAAGCATCACTGCTGTCCGAGGGGGTGGGCAATGGGCTTTTGTCACCCAGCCGTTCTCGGCCAGTGTCCCAGCGAGTGCAAGGGGGTATGTGAAGGAGGTGGCTTTTCTGCTGGGATGCTCCCTGTTTTCCATTTCCTGCTGCTGTGTTTCAAAAAGGAAGGAAAACGAATCGCCAGCTCCCTCTAAACAGCCTCCCTCTCCTCTCCTGCTCTGCTTGTGGCTGCGGGACATGCAGATGAAATCCGGTAACAACAGCTTTGGGGGGAAAACAGTGTTGGTTCTCTGTTTGGGATTCAGAGCGCCTGATGCTGGTGGGTACAACAGCAAACCCTGCAGCCCTGCTTCGGCTCACGCTGGTCCGAGCCGAGCACGGACGTGCCAGCGGTCCCCGAGGAGGAGGTGTGTTGGTGTGAAACCTGCCGTAAAAAGAGCTGACAGAAGCAGGTGTTGGGTTTGATACCTCAAGTATTAATTTGCTGTTTTGGGCAGTAAAACAACTGTCCTTGATGCATTGGGGGAGAGCGAATTACATCGAAAAGATCAGTTGCAGAGACCGGGGTCTTCTCTTGGTGATCTAGAATGGTTTGTCACCAACAGCAGTCGAGCCGGGGGTGTTCTGTAAAAATCTCAGAGCAGCTCATAAACTAATTTACAAGGAATTCTTGGAGAAAGTGTTGCTTTCCGCTTATAAATGCAGACATGTGGGTGTGTCTGTTCTTTGCTCGCTCTTTTTCTATTTCTTTTTTAAGCTAGCAAGCCACACGAGCATGATGGATGAGACGCTCCACAGAGCGTGGGATCTTCCCCCATCCGGCTGGGATGTCATTCTCTGTGCAGATGGCATCCTCCAGTGGAAGCCACCCACTGCTGCTCTGCCTCTTGGGAGACATGAACTTTCCATTTGACGGGAAGGAAGCTCATAGCTCCCTGCTGACTGCTGGGATTTAAGCGAGCAATCAATGACACGAGACCTTAGGAGGGAGAAGGCAATTTTATTTTAAAACAACATGAGTTTTGCTCATTCACAGTCATACCCACCTGCTCACGAGCACCAACATGAGGATCTCCAAGGGGTTGTCCAGCATTCGGGCACTAATGTCTGTGTGTCCAGATGGTCTGGACAAGATTCCTTGCCGCTTGCCGTGGCATATTCCTGGCTAGTGAGCATCTGAACTCGGGTCAAAGCTTACAGGTCTGCCTAACACAGATCAACAGCGGCTCTGGGTGGGTTTTGTACAGATCTGCAGTGACTTGGGTGGTGTTTAGTGCCACAAACCGTAGGAAGCAGAGTCTCCCCAAAGAGTTTTTGCTCTAAATTGGCAAGAAAAGTTGCTAGCATTGGCAGGGAGTGGGTGGTGGTACCTCATTTGCCATCGACCAGGGGGTTTTGAGGCCAATCCACTGCTCTGTAGTCTCCTAAATGCATAGTGAGCATCTGCTGTGAAAGGCTGAGCTTGTTTACCTCTCTTAAATGGCTTGTGTGGTATGGATGCAGGGCGGGGTGGATTTGGGGCATCATTCTCAGCTCCGTGTGCTCTCTTTGTTTCTTGCTGCAGGTCCCCCAGAAGAAGAGATGGTTTAAGGCCAGCCAGCGCAGCTGCCACTTCCAGTCGCGGCGTGCCCACACCTCAGGGAGGAACATGGCAGCAGCTCAGGGAGCAGGAAGCAGTTCAGCCGGGCCATCCGGGCTCCCCGGCTCTGCCCTGGGGCACAGCAGCAACTCCACAGCAGTGGCGGTGTGGGAATGGCAGGATGAATTTGGCAGGTGGAGGCCGTACCGAGGGAACGTCTGCAGCTACATTGAACAGGTTTTTCAGGCCTCTCAGCAGAAGGGCCGGCGTTCGGGCTCGGGGCTTGTCAGCAGCATCCCTTTGGGACATGCGGATCCCGTCTTGGCTCCCTATGTCATCGACATCCCAAGCTTGACGCAGTTCCGGCAGGATACAGGTAAGGGAGCTTCCCTACCCATGCTGGGGTTTTGATGAGGCTGCTTGTGTGCTTGGAGATAAGTGGGGCCGCATTCTGTGTAGGAGAGCCCTGCAAAGCTCTGCTGTCTTCTACCACTGCTGGGCAGCTCTTGGAGGGGTGGATTATCAGCTTCTCTCCTGATGCTGTCTGCTGCCCAGCATATTAGCACGTGAGAAAATCAAAGTTGGCTGGCGTGAATCTGCAGGGCTGGCTGCAGGCATGTGGTGGGGATCGCTGAAGGAGCCTCGTCACGGGACCTCTGGAGCTCAGAGCTTGTGAGCCAGAGCCCTTAGAGCTGGAAACTTTCTTCCTGCCCCCACCCACGTCCATTCAAAACCACTTGCATAAAAAGGCCTTTTTACGATTCAAACCCTCCCGTTTGAATCCCTTATTCCCTCTGCAACTGGAGTGCCAGCTGCTTTACCTTGGCATGCCGCCCTGCGCAAGCTGCTTTGCAAAAGCCTGCAGCCCCCGCAGAACGCCGTAGTGCTGCAGCAGAATATTCCCTGCACTTGTGCTATACAAGGCTGGCTTGCTTCCTCCTAGGGAGAAAGGGCAGGCTGGGCTTAACAGCGGGATTGAGACCTCATTTTCGTTCTTATCGCGTCTCTCTTGGGGTCACTGAGGCTAGCAGCTCAGAACTTGCTGAGATGCCTCCTACCCTCTTTTGCTCCAGATGTGCTGAGCAGCTGTAGCTTAGAAAGGGGGCAGGGGTGGAACACATGCTCTTCATCTCTGCAAAATCCAGGGAGATCCCAAATTACACACCCCGAATGAATGGCTGCTTTGAAAAATTCTCCGTGCCTCGGTTTCCCCTTTGTCAACATCTCTCCCATCGCCCCAGGGTGCAGTCAAGCATCACCCCAAGCTTTAGGGATGGGCATTCTGCTGGCTTCTTGCCAGTTGAAGCAATAAGTGAGCAGTGTCTCGAATCAACTGCACGATTGAGCAATTCCTACAGGAAAGGAAGGTAGTCAGAGCAAATGTGAATGGTCATTACAGCTGCATCCATGTTTTTATTCCGACTTGATGACCTTAGGATTAGTTTTTCTAGCTGTGTCCTGGGTGAGGAGCTTTCTGAGCTGGATGCCTTGACAGGTCTGCTCAGCATGGCCTGTATGAGCACCTGGAAGCCCTGCTGAGGCTGTGGCTTTGAGCAATAAAGCATGGACCACCAGAGCTGGCACCAGAGGCTGTTTCTTGTTGTCTTCATGCCTAACTGGTGAAGGAACCTTCCAGCCTCTTGCCTTTTCAGCCAGTGCTCCAGCACATGGGCAGCAGTCCCAAGCTGTCCCTTGTCAGGAAATGGACTGGTTTGGTGAAGGTGAGCAGAGTGCCTGGGGGAGACTGGAAGATGTGTCCCAGGGTGAGTGGCACATCCTCCTCCTCCTCCACAAGTGGAGCTGTCTCTCCACAAAGATCTTGTATCTCTTTATACCATTGTGAAAGATCTCAAAACACCTAGCAGATATTGTCCATCACAGGATGTTTTGAAGTATGTCATTGCTGGGGGACAGCCCAGTACAACTGTGGAAATTGTGTTGGCTGGCGTGATCTCATCTTTAATAAGAAAAAGGTTGATTCCACTTCACAGCTCTCCTGCAGCGTTTCCCAGCAATTTGGAGGGATGCTGATCAGAGTGGCCAGGTCTGTGAGCCTCCCTCCCCAGGTACCTGCGTGCTCTGCAGCGTGACTACTGGAAACACTCTCATATCCCCTTTTTGTGACCCAATTCTGAGCAAAGCTTTTTCTCTCTGTGGGGTCTGCCTCAGATGTGAACCTTTCTGATCGAGCAGCCAGCTGACCTTTGTCATGTGCTGGAGAAAAGAATCTCTGCAGGAAACATCCCCATGAAAAAATCTTTAAACAGAGCAAAAAATAGGCTGTTGTATTCTGCTCATTAGCTATTAGACAGACAAATAGGCTCTTCAAAGGAAGCCAGGGAGAATAACAGGAAGCCAGTGTTAACGGGACCAGCATCCCCATCACCGGGGAGTGACAGCTGTGCAGGGGGATCTTGTGGGCAGGATTAGCTCTGGGCTTCAGCTGCTGGTCGAGGCAGACTAGCTGGGAGTGAACGCACGGGAGCAGCAGGAGTTGTCCTCTCGCCACAGCTGTTTGCCCACCCTGGAGAGGAATGCCCCTTTCCCTGCCAGCCTGGGGGAAGGAAGATGTTTGCCAAGTGCATGGCTTCGTCCTTGTTATAGACTCCTAAAAGCTCTTCTCCCAGCTGCTGTTGTGGGTTGTTGAGAATATGGGTTGCTTACAAACTCCTCGAGTCCTCTCTGTGCTGCTTTTAGTTGAAGCAATGGAGCAGGGGCAGCTTTGCTAATCTCCTCTGAGATGTGTCCCACTGGGCTTTCTGACACCTTGCTTTACCTGTGGTAGTCCCCTTTATCTGGGGAGCAGGTCCCTGCACTCATCTCTAACCATAGTGCATTTCTCACCATCTCGTTTCCATCCCAGTCCTCCTTCTGCTCGGGGGGTCATCCCTGATGCTGCCCACCCATTGAGGCCATAGGTTGTGTGTTTCTAGAATCTGGCAGCACTCGTTTGCTGGATAGGAGCAGTCATTGTTGGAGTTTGCTCTTGGCTGTTTTGTCTGCTTTCCCATGTAAGATACTGATTCCTGGCTGGGGAAGGTCAGCCTGGTTCTGCTGTCACCTCCTGCCCTGACACCTCCTGCCCTGACTTCTGCCAGGGACTGCCTTGTCCCGCAGGAATCCCTGGGCTTCATGGTTGAGCTGTTGGGGCTCAACCCCAGTTCTTGTGGAGGAGGTTGCTGTGTTTCACTGGCTGTTGGTAGCCTTTTAGATGTGCTGATGAGGTGTTGTCTGTTGGATGGAGTCACTGGTGAGTCCCGCTCTGCAATAAGCAGGACGCTTGGTGCTGCTCTGGCTGCTGAAGAAGCACGTTCTGCCTTTGAGAGCACCTCAGCCTTTATGTCAGCTCTGGAGCTCAGGTCTGTCCTGATTTAGTTCTTGCAATGATACTTGGGACATACCTGCACCCCAGCACAGGGTCTCATTATGGTCAGACCACCAAAGTGCTGGGCAGAAACCACCAACACCATTTTGAAGACGCCTGGGAGTGTGATAGGAGCAGAGATGTGACTTTCATGCTGTTGAGCAGAATTTTTAGCAGCGAGGAGGCAATCAATGCCCTTATGGTTTGAGTCCAGTCCTAGTGGTTTCTGCAGTATCCCAGTACTATGGGGTAGAAAGAAGAGCAGTGTGAGGTAGAGATACTCGAGCCAGCGTTCAGCCAGCCAGAGCCTTAGCACAGGTAGCTATCGGGTTTTGGCAGTGTGGCCCACGGGGCCTGTCCTCCTCCTTCCTTGGGGTGTGCTCGCTGGGCATAAAGCTTTCATGGGTTGCCTGCCCATCACAGAGCCACCAATAGCATCCTGGGGCAGTTGCCCGCAGGCTTTAGGTGCAGATACTGTTTTTACCTGTGGTGCTGGAGCTTAGGGTCGTAACTCTCATGACCTCTAAGGAGGCTTTATTGTATTTTTTTTTTCCTCTAGGTGCTGTTCTCTGAATTTCTCCTGTGTTGCACAGACTCGCTACACCCCTGTTCACCCCCACCTGCCTGCGTCCCCAGACTTGCTTGCCCTGCGGCATTTCCTGCTTCTCTTTCTTACTGCGGAGTGTGGCTGAGGATTTTCCCAGCAGCAGCAGTTTTGACCCTGCTGCAGGAACCCGTTTTTGCAGAGATTGCAGAGCTTCTGTCCTGTTGGGTGGCTTCCCTCACTCTCATTAGGCTTTTTCTTTTTCAGAGAAAGTACTAAAGTAACCGGGAGTGAAGTCACCCTGGAGAGTCAGGCTTCCAGGGGGTTTTGAGCTCCTGCTGGCGAGCGGCCTTGCAAGAGAAGCGTGTCTGCTTTCAGTTCTCTTCCTTTGTCTGAGCAGCTGCTCTCTCTGGTTTCCAGATTACTTCGTTGTCTTCTCTCTCGTCTTGCTGTATCTGCCAGCAGTCAGGAGCCTGGAGAAGCTGTTCATGTCTGTCCCCTCTCTCAAGTCCTTGCCCTTGTGGGACTTCACCCACTCCTCCAAGAGCAAAACTGCTCAGGCCCTTGTGTAGTGCAGTGGGTGTTTAGCGCTTTAAGCACTCCTGCAAAGCACTTCCCAATAGTGTCCTGTCTCTATAGTTACTCTGTTGTCAAGGCTGTGGGAGGTTTTTTTCTTTTAACCAGATCTGTGCCTCGGCCTGTTTTTTTTTTTTTTTTTTTTTTACGTCAGGGAGGCATATGTGATCCCTGTGCCTTTGTGCTCGGGTGTGTCTGTGTCTGCATCCTCTCTCCTTCCCTCCTTTCCCACCCTTCCTCCCAGCAGCTTTTGAACCTGTTGCCAGCCCACAATCAGATTTGGCAGAGGGACAGAGATCGTGGGGTTATTGCATTTCTCTAAGCTTCATGAGCAAACCCAGCCCTGTCAGGAAGAGAAAGTCTGTTAGTGTCACTGTCGAGGGAGAGGTGATGAAGGCCACCCTGATGTAGACACTGCAGATCTGTGCAGAAACTAGTCTGAGACAACCTCCCCCTTAACTATCTGCTCGCATAATGATTTTATGTATTTCCCCCCGTGTCCGCACACAGGGACGATGCGGGCTGTCCGCAGGCACCTCTTCCCCGGGGACTCCGCTGCTGGGCAGGGCATTGTCTGGGAGTGGCAGAACGACGAAGGCGGGTGGTCCCCCTACGAGATGAACGTCTGCGTGTTCCTGGAGCAATCCCGTGCCACCAACCACCAGCGAGTGGATCTCGGACCCTTGGGCTACAACTACGAAGTTGACTTTGTGGCTCAAGTCCAGACCAACAAGACCACGCGATTCCGCCGCAGCGTTCAGAGGCGCTTGGACGCCCCGTACCCGGTGTCCACCTCCCCTGCACCCCTTCACCCAGGGGTGGCTTGCTCCTGCCAGCAGTGCTGGCTGAACAGTGGGACTGGTCCCATTACCACGCGCTACCGGCACTCCATGACAAACTTTCCCAACTCTTCCACTACTCATCAGGTTTCCGGTAGGACAGCATCAGTAAGTTCTTCCAGTGTCAGCTTTGTGCCCTATAACAAACCGACTTTGTCTGGAGCAAGGTCAACACCAAGACTCAATGTACAGAGCACGTGGGCTTTACCTCAACCTGGAGGCCCCAGCACAGGACTGTCTGCATCTAACGGAGTCAGGTACAGACCCTAATTCACCTTTAAATACTGTGCATGTGTCCGAGAGATCTGCTGTGTTCAGGTCTTCATTATCTAGGAGCCTGTCTGTCCCAGAGGACTTTACAAGGGTCTTCCTAGAAGGAGAGAGAGGTTTGTGCCTCTGTGTCCAGTACAGTGGATGAAAAGGCTTCTCCTGTGCTTTCCCCTTTTTTTTCTTTCACTTGAAATATAGTCCCTGTCTACTAGTCTCCCTAAACCACTGGAGAAAGCAGTCAGGTGGAGATTCTGCAGGTATGAGAAAATCAATAGTGATTGGTGGTATTTCAGGTTACACTTAAAAAGAACTTTGAGGGGGACTGAGTGAATGAAAAGGGAACTTGTGGATGCCCTTATTTAATTCAAAATATGCAGTAAACATGGAGTGGAAAATTCTCTGTGTTCAAAGCTCTTCCACTTCAAGGTGGGACTGCAGGACTCGATGCACGTGGCTGAGACCTCGTGAGTTCTCTGACAAAATTGGGAAGTCCATGTTGAGCATTTTGAAGCTGAAAAAAAACAAACAGTAAGACATAGATTTGGTAAAGGAGTTTTTTAAATCTGTTGTGAAGATGTTTAGAAAACCAAATCAGTAATTTACTTTCCCCTTCCTGTGATACCTTGAACTGTATTGATCCCTCTCTGAGATCAGTGGGGTGACACTAGCAATTTGAGTGGTGTCCAGGCTATTCATCAGGCTAAATGCTGATGCACAGCAGATGTGCCACTGGATAATCACAGAAGAGCTTCATTGTGCACGCGTTGAGGTGCTGTGGAGCTTTGCTGTTTCAATGTTGGAGGACTGGAAGCAGAAGCAAGGACTGCAAGTGATTTAAAATCCAGCTAAGCCTCACCTTGTGAGGGTTTGGCCATGTCCTTTCCCTTCATCTTTCTTCAGCGACCTTCTCCTGGCTGGGTGCCCAGGGAGCACCCTCTGCCTCTCTGGAGGGAGCTAGTTACTTTGATGGAAGGACTGACAGTTGGCACAGTGCTAGCTGAGGTCAAGCTTTCCTTGGTTCTTTGAGCTGTCACCCCTCAAATGCTCCAGCTTGCGTGGATGGGTCACCTGTGCTGGCTGCTGATCCATTTTCGCTGTGGCTCATCTCTGAGCAGGCTGAAACTGGTGTGCTTCTCTCAGCACAGGATTTCAGTTCCCATCGGTGAGCGGCTGGAGCTGGAGGAGGGCTGTGTTCACACCTTACCAGCGTGGGAGGAAGGGCTTCACTTGTCTTCAGGCCTTTCGGCTGTTGCCAACTAAATGAAAAGCAGTCTCGTGGCCTGACACTGCTCCTCTCCACGGTGTGGGCTGCTGGGCCAAGCCACGGCGGATTATCCCATCGTGGGCTGGAGCAGGGCTGCAGCACTGGGCTCCAGCGGGGATTTGGGGGCTGGGGGAGATCAGTCTCACCCTTGCAAAGTGGGGCACTTCCCTCCATGTTCTTGCAGGATGGCCTCTGTGAAGCCTGGGCACCCGAACCAAGCCAGATGGCCACTAATTGGCTTTCAGGGTCTTAACTCTTTCTTTGCTAAGCAGGGCTCTTTGTGGCCTGTCTGGTGATAATGCTTGGGCCAAGTATCTCCCAGCATTAAACTGAGGACCAGGCAAGGGCTGCCTGACTGCTCCCTCCATTCGTAAGCTGCTGGAAGTGTATGGAGCAGTATACGGACTTCACCGTAAATAGTCCGGGTGCTGAACTGCTGTGCGAGCACCTGAGAAAGCAAAGGGGAACTTGCCAGGGCTGACTTACCTGTCCAAGCTACCCTGAGTAAATACAGAGATAAGAGAGCTGGAAAGGTTGAAAGCACATTCTGCTGATTATGTGGGGCACAGGGGTTTGAGGTTTATTTTGAATCTCATTTGTAGTTTAAGCAAGATGGTGAATCTTGAGATATTTTCCAGAGTGTCATATCAGGACTTCCCTCTTTGGGGTCATCTGGGTGAAATGATTTCCTGCACCCTGTTCTTCTTTCTCACGGTTTTTTTCTGGTGCTGTCTTTGCATCTGGTGATTTTTTTGTGGCATCTTAAGCATCTGCAATACTTCTCTGTTCCAGTCACCTTTGAATAGGGCTGAAAATCAGACCCCAGTACTGCCTGCAGGAGCCCCCAGTAAGCCTCTTGCAGTCTCCTGAAGAAGCCGCCCAATTCCTGCTCTCGCAGAAGCTTCTGGCTGGTGCGTGGGCCTGCTGGGAGCCCCCCATCCTTCCCCAGAGCCTCAGCATGATTTGCAAATCACCCACTCTCAGGGTGGGAAGATTAAAAATGAAGAGCCAAATGCTGCAGCAGTTGCCCCGCGTGCCTGTCTGGAGCCTGTCAGGGTCTGGGTATGTCGTGTGCTGCTGATGGGGGGCCAGGCTGTCCTGAAAGGAGGGCAGATGGGGGAGAGATGTTCAGAGAGGGGTGACAGGGGCTGCTTGCCGTGACCTGAGCCCACGGCCCGAGTGATGCTGAGTGGGAGGAGAACAGCCGGGAGACTGGGGAGGCCACGGTCGGGGCAGCCTGCTGGGCTGGCTCCTGGGAGCTGCTGGGGCGGCGGGCAGCTTTCAGCAGCTGCTTAAACCTTCTGACAGTCGAGTGCCAGCAGAGCTTGTGCTGGGAGGGCTGGCGTACGCTCCCTGCTCAGCTGCTCCAGCTCAGTCCCTTCTCGAGCACTGCTGAAGGTGGCTTTTGTGGCAGGAACATCTGGTCCCCTCCACGGCAGAGGACGGAGCCCTCCTGGCGTGCTGGGACTGCTGCGGTGCTGGCGGCAGCGTTGGCCACGGATGAGCAGTGCCGTGGCTGCTCGAGATCTGGCTGTTGCAACGTGTTTTGCAGCTCAGCTGTGTGCAAGGGGTGAGGTGGCTGGTATCCTGGCAATAATCCGAGCCAGCCTTTCCGGGGGATGCGAAGGGATTGTGTGGTTTCCTGGGGACAGCAGAACGTGCCACGTGGGGAAGGCGGCAGCTCTTCGGATGCTTGGAGGGCACTTGTGTAACGGGCACCCTCTGTGCGAACCCTGCACCCCCCTGCTGTGAGCCTTGCTCCCTGCTCTCCTGGCTACTGTCTGTCCATCCCTGCTGGGGTGCGAGCGTGCCCTGAGCAGGGGTGCGCTGCCTGGGCTCGCTGTGGCGAGTGTGACGTGGGCCCTTGGCAGAACCCAAGCCTGGCCCAGATGCAGGGATGTGGCTCAGCACTTGCCTGGCTGCAGGGCTTATCGGGCAGGTGGTTTTGCAGGCAGGATGTTAGGAGCTGTCATTATCTCTACAACTCCCTTTCTGTTCATGAACACGGGTGTTTTCTGTTAGACATAGCCGTGGAAGCCTCTGTTTTCCATACCCTTCCGCAGGAGCACGTGTGGATCACAGACCCAGCCTGGAGGAAGGCAGCAGCAGCGGGGGGCTCACCCAAACGGAGCCCAGAGAAGGGCACAACAACGATGCCCGTTGAAGGCTCTTCGTGGATGATGTCTGGATCTCCAGTCCTTTGGGATTAATGTTTCCAGGGGTGTTCTCCTTCCTCTCTGTCAGACAGACAAATGCGCACGGGGGCAATCTCTGGCTTCCAGTGTAGTGCCAGATGTGAAAAGGAGTTTTTCAGCACCAGCTGACAGCTCGAAATGGCTTTTCCCCTGTCCCCCCCGTGCTGGGTCTGAGTCGGAAATGCCACTGGGTGGATGCAATTGCTCCTGGCTGGGGTTACAGTCTCAGGCTCGTGAAACCCATGTTCCAGCAGAAAATACGCTAATTTTTGTGAATTAGGGGAAACCTGAGTAGCAAACTCTAACAATGTGTTTCATTTAATTCCTAAGCCCAGAACATTCCTAGGTTATTTTATCCCCTAAGTTCCCCGTCTTCTCCCGTGTCTGGGCTTGGTGTGGCGTGGTGGTTAGTTCCCCTGCCCTCGCAGTCGCTGCGCTGTCTCCTGCTGCATCACCGAGTAGTGTGGCACTTGATGCAGTGAAGATGAGGTGTTAATCATCCTGCGCTAATTATCCTGCCAAGGGTTTCTGTCTGCATCCAGTGTGCAACCTTGCTCATTCCTCTTAGCTGTGATGTGCAGTTCCTGTGCTGGCCTGTGTTCAGAGAGCAAAGAAAAGGGAGCGGCAGGCCACGGTGGATCCTCTGGTGTCTAATAAAGATTGTGTTGTGTTCACCCTGCAGCCTTTGGCTCCAAAGCAGCCCTGACAGATTATTTGCTATTACAAAACTGCTTATCTTCACAAAGCTTGCAGGGATGACCCAGCTCTGGCCTGTGGGAGCTGATCTGCAACTGGCAGAAGGGCTCAAAAGCTATTAGGGAGAGACTGAAAGACAGTGCAGTTGTGTACACCCAGTTTCTTTAGGAAATGCAGCTAAAAATGGCAGTACTGAAGAAAACATCTCTCCTGCAGGGCTGAGAAAGAGGTGTAGTTCGTCCTGGAAAGCTGCCTAACTCCCTGTGTGGCTGTGACAGTTATTTCTAATACGCAGACAGGAGTACCCCCCAGTACAGGCTGGCAGTAACACAGCATGCCTGAGCTGTTGTGGCATTGGCGGTGGTTAAATATATTTCCTGCCTGCTGTGGGGCTGGAAGGCGGATGCCGATGTGAGAGAGGGTGGAGCTCAGGCACTTCAAAACAGAGGTTTAATTTCCCCATGCTCTCAAGAAGGTCAAAGTCCCTGGAAAACCCAGGGAGGAGTGCCAAGGCTTAAATAGTTGCTAATATCCTTGGCTCTGCTGCTAATGTATTTAATGCATGTGGGCAAGTTATTTTGCTTCTTGGTGCATTAGTTTCCTCCTGTGTGTTAAACGCAGTTAATGAATCTGGCCTCTCGCAGACGCTGAAATCTGCAGATGGAGCGTGCCAGGGCCAGGTTCTTCTGTCAGCACCGGATCTGTGAGGCAGGGTCGGCTCCCCAGGCTCGCAGCCACCTCCGGGCACCGTCCTTCCCACCCTGTGCGGGAAAGCATCCGTCCCTGGAGCAAGAGCTGCCCTGCTCCCTGCACTGTGCTGGCTAATTACAGAGAAGGGCGCTTCTGGAACACAGTGAGGAGTGCCCTGCTTGTCATATGAGCAAGTAAAGCTGCAGGAAGAAATCTTCTCAGGGATATATTAATTAGCGCCCCAGCCAAGCAAATCCCTGCTCTAGCTCTGCTGACCCCGCAGAGCTTATGCGGCTTTGGGTGCCATTCTAGGTTGGGCCTACAGATAAGGCAGGTGGCTCGGCGGGGAGGATTTTGTTTAAAAGCGAGGGAAATGGGGATCTTGGGGACTGGGGAAGGATACGGCATCGTGATGTTCCTATGGAGGGTTTGGTGCTGTGCCCCCAAGTGTCCCATGGGGAATGACCGGTGCTCAGCGCTTTGTAGGCTCAGGAGGTGTAACTGAGGTACCAGAGCCTGGGCAGGGCCTTTCCCCTTCTCCCTCCTCCTTTGCATCTTTCGGCTGCTCTGTCCATAAGAGCACCCATGAGCTCCTGGGTGGCGAGGTGGGGCTCTGCGTGGTGCTGGTTCCGCTGGGCCCGTTGTGACTCGCCCCAGTATGATTCTGCTGCTGGGCGTTCTTCCCGAGTGGGAGCAGGGGAACCTCCTCTGCTTGGTGCAAGGAACGAACCACAGATCCACATGGCTGCGTGCTGTGCACCTAAAGGTCCTCTGTTAGAGGGATTCGGTCTGGGTTTTGGCATCTTCTTGAGAAGAAAGGTGGGGAGAAACTGCTGTGTGGTCATTAGTATCGTCGTACGCTCGGTTAGCCCTGGGAAGCGGGTTGGACCTTTGGGTGTTGCGGTAGCACTTGGTGTTAATGTGAGGCAGGGCTGGATGCAGCCCTGATCTGGGAGGAGAAGTGCTGGCACTTGTCCAGAGGGCTACAGCAATGCCATGATATGGAATATATGGGCTGCTGACTGGTGAGCAGGGAGCGAGGAAGGAAGAAATGTCAGGTAGAGACGGTGAGTGCTACAGACTTCCCCACTTCTGCTCGTTCGGGATATTATGTACGTGTGCCTTAGGTGATGTTCCGCTCAAACCTGACTGCCCAGTCTTTGAAATGGCAGCAGCCGTGGATGCCACACTTCCTCTCCAGTCTTGTGCTTTGCTGTCTCACCAGCGTTGCAGTGTCTCGAAATTCTGAAGTGAGTGGTTTTGTCATGCTGAAATTTCGGTCAGTCCCATCTACCTCCTATAGCAGATTACCATGCTCTACTTACAGCAAAAAACAATGGCACATCTTACAGGATCTCCTTGCTGAATCTTAGAGAACAGGGTCTTATTTTGCATCCCTTTCTTCACAACCTGGTGATCCCTGTTGCACTCGGTCACCTCCGGTGCATGGAGCGTCGGGAGAGCAGGAGCTGCAGCGAATGGCAGGACAAAACTCCAGGACCTCACCCCGGCCAGGCTCCGGCTCTCTCCCAGGAAGCCAGCGCTGGTATGGCGATACTGGAGTAGCTTGAGTCTGAGCTGGTGGACTGAATACATCTGTTTGTGCTGCTGGTGAGCCCGCTCTCAGAGTCAAGGCAAGGCCTGTGCTACATTACAACAGCGATACCTTTCCTTGTTACCTCTTCCCCTTCCTCCTCCAAAAAACCCCATTTCAGACCCAGGGTAGGCTCTGAGTAGCATTTCTTCACCTTTTTTGGCATGGCAACACTTCCTCCCACGTGCTGTGGCTGCAAATCTGCCTAGGCAGAGGTACCTCAAAGCAGCATGGATTTCCCTTGATTTCATCAGCCTTACGTCTGGGCTTTCTGCAGATGTGAAAGAAATCACAGTGCGTGGCCGCCCTGCCGGTACGCTCACACGGTGTCGCGCGGATGGGTCAGCACACCCTACCATGTTGTCGGCTGAAGTGCTGCTAACTGAATGTGCGGGTGTTTAGCCCATGTGAAATGAGAAATATTTGGTTCCTCCATCATCACATCAGTTGCCTTAAAGCCTCCCAGCAGTCCGAGCTGACACACTTTGCCTTGACACCAGGAGTGCAGCTGAGCAGCAGCTATTTGCTGGCTGATGGATGGGAATTTCTCTGCAGCACACTTGCAGCTTCCAAAACTTGAATCAATTGCTTATCCATTTCCCTCTGCAGATCTCAAGGGCTCTTCTCACTTCGTAGCTCCTGGGTGACTTGGACTTGAGCCTTGCAGTGGAGGAAAGAAGGAGGAGGAATTTCTCTGCCGATCTGCTCAAAGCATTGTTACCAGTGATCCCCTTCCCAGACCAGCTCTGGGTTTACTTTCTTCAACCTCAGGTGTAATGACCCTGGGGTCCCCCACTACCTGTCTGCTTTCGTGGCAGAGCAGAAGGTTCAGTTTTGTGCTCTATTTTATTTTTGCCTTCCACAGGGAAGTGAAAGCAACCAAAGCGGCTGCGGCGCTTCATGGTGTGACGACGAAGCACAAGCTCTTCAGTTCAGTCGCGTGCAGGGTCGCAGACTGGGTAGAGAGGGTGCCCGGGCACCGTGTTGTCTTCTTTGCTGCTCGATGGGGGGAAGGAAGGAGGGGCTGTCTGTTACCTCACTGATTTCTGGGAGCAGGTCTCTCGGGTTTCTTGTCATTATCTGGTCCTCGAATACCCTCCTTGTCTGCAGCTGGAGAGGGAGCAGCCCTGCTACTAGCCGTCATCTGAAGAGGGTCATAGGCAGGAACAGAAATGAAGCAAAGGCATGAGATAGAGAAGGAGGAGGGAAGTACCTGAGAAGGAGTTGTGACGAGGAGGCCGAGTCATGAAAGAAAAAGTCATAAAGAGGAGTCATGGCATCTGATTCAAAGCCCGTTGAAATTGAGGGGAGGATTTCCACTGTGTTCGATGGATTTGAATTGGGCTGTAGCGAGAATCCGTTGCGTCATTTGACGACATTGCAAAACTAGGGGCAGCAGAGGGGAAAACACGGTCTTTGAAAGAGGCGAAGGGAAACCTCTGTGGCCTGGAGAGCTTTATAAGGGTCTGGAGGAGCTGATCTTGCTTGGCCAGGCTGTCAGCGCAGCGACGAGCCCTGGGTCCTGCCCGGGGGTTTCTTCAGAGAGCTCAGCCTGCGTGCAGACCCTATTTCAGACTGCGGCAGGTAGGTGAGGAGGGTGGTGGGGATGCGTCCCTATCATGAGGGTGGGAGGCAGCCGTGTGTCACTCACAAATCTTTTCAGCTCTGGTCACTGTCATGGAAATGTGGACAAAGATTTTAGCAAGGCTGAAGAGCTGTCTGCGACGCTGTTTTGGGCACAGTGGCAGCTTTTGCATCCCAGCTGGAGAGAAGCAGGTTCCCTGTCTAGATAGTGGGTGGCATTCGGGCACTTGGCCACCTTAGTCTGCTCTGTCAACTCACAAGAAGCTGGCCAGGTTTGATGTAATTTTGAGTGTTTTGGGGAGTCCTTTGAAGTGGTTGTCTGCACGCACTGCGTGTTAACTGCAGCTGAAGTGCCCAAGTCTGCATCTCCCAGAGGCATGTGTGCCACATGAGACAAAGTCCGTGGGTGGCTTCTCTGTGCCACTGTGCTGGATTTCAAATGTTCTGCTCATGTGGATCCAGCTTGGTTTCTCCCCTAGTGACCCCCTCATCAGCTTTCATGCTGCTGCTCACCCTTTCCTTCCTGACTGCTGCTGTCAGCTAAATGCGTGACCCGGGCTGCCCAGGCATCCCAAGCTACCTTGCGGTGCAGCTGCCAGCGCTGGGAAACGCTGCCAAAACAAGTAGGTTAGGACCCTGAAGGGGATGTTTGGTGTCCAGATTCTCCTGATTTCCAAAGGAAGGTGGGTGCCAAACTCTTCTAAGTCTCCTGCAACCTTTCCTGCCTTGTTCCCACACCTTGCAGTAGTTCCTTGGATGCGCAGGGAGAGTCAAGGCTTGATTCTGTTCAACCCAGGGCTGCAGCCGTGTGTGCTCAAGTGCTTTTCTTGGCTTTTATGTGCCTCAGTTTCCCCATCTGGAAAGCAGCGGGGCGTGATAATGCTTGCTTCCTTTGATCTGTACAGCTGCATCTTCTTATACAGCATGGGGGCTCGCGCTCTGGTGAGCAGCTTTTCTCTGGCTGGAGACCAAGGCACCTGGAAGGTTGAAGATGAGCTTTGCCTGCTGCATCCCAGCGGTTCCTGGCTGTGTGCTCAAGCCGTGGGCCTGCTGGCGCAGCAGTCTGTCTCAGGGCAGATCGGCTGCTCATGGGAGGCTCGGGGTGGGGGGGAAGCAGCAAGAGTGGGGATGCATCACGAGGTCAGAGCAGGGGGCTGACCAACAGGCCCCAGCAAGAGGAAGGAATGAGTGAGACCCAGAATCCATCCAGGAGGAGGTGGGAGTGGAAACAGCTACCTACAACATAGGTCTGAGGTCTACACCTTAGAGATCAGTAAACCTACTGGATAGATAGCTCTGGCAGGGACTGGGCTCCTTAAATGTAGCTGCTGGACCAGTGGGCAAAGGGTCGTGGGTGGGGGTCCCAGGTGGGGTTCATCTGGGCAATTAATCCCTGTTAATGTATCCAGGGCCCTGGCACTCAGGAGGGAGCAGTGCACTGCTGAGTTGTCTCTGTTTCGTTGGTGATTGATCTGTGCTACTGAACTTGTCCCCTTTTTTCTCTCTCCAGCGCCCCGAACCTGCCGGTCAGGATGCCCAAAGCCAGCAAGGTGACCCAGGCCCTGGCAGGTAAGGATCCCGCTCTGTCCTGAGGGTTATGTGAGCCAGTGCTTTACCTTTCTGTGGCACTTGTTTTCCTTTGTTAGTTTTTAGGAAGAGTCTGAAATGTTATTGGCATTTAGGATTTTAGGCCCAGAGGATTTTTCAGGAAGGTAAAGAGGGCAAATTTGGGAAGAATGGGATGGTCAAACCTTAGTAACTGTTTTTCTTGTTGGTGCTGGTTCTGAGGCTCTCAAAGTGAGTGGGTTTATTTGGGGGTTGGGTGTTCATCTTCTCCCGTAGGTGTGGATGAGCAAGTAGCTGGGGGGGAGCACACGGATCAAGTTCAGTTCTAGCTGTTTCTTGCTACGTTTTTTTAAAGTCAAGAGGAA